TCTCTCTCTCTCTCTCTCTCTCGGTTGGCACGCATTCCACCGCCACCTCTCTCTCTCTCTCTCCTCCTCTCTTTCCTCAGTCATTCGACTGCGTGTCTGCTTGCTCGCCCTAGGGCCATCTCGTAGTTTAAAAAAATCCGGACGTCGGGACGGGAATACTAATCCCCCCTCTCCGTCTCCGTCCCGCGCCGCGCCATCACGCCAGTTTAACCGGGGGATCTTCCCTCACCTCCCCCTCTCCCCCCTTCCCCCCCTCTTCTTCTCTGTTGCAGACGCGTGCGGATTGTCGGACGTGGCGCACATCGAGTCCCTTCAGGAGAAGTCGCAGTGCGCGCTCGAGGAGTACTGCAGGACCCAATACCCGAACCAGCCGACGAGATTCGGCAAGCTGTTGCTCAGATTGCCGTCCCTGAGGACCGTCTCGTCCCAGGTGATCGAGCAGCTGTTCTTCGTCCGCCTCGTCGGGAAAACGCCGATCGAGACGTTGATCAGGGACATGCTGCTCAGCGGGAGCAGCTTCAACTGGCCCTACATGTCCACGATGTGACATTCTGTTTGGCGACACTTGGCTTCCGCGTAATACCCTCGACGCGCTTCCCCCACCCCCGACCACTCACCCCCCCCTCCGCTCGCCCCCCTCCCCCGCCCCCGCCCTCGGAACAGCCGCCCACCGCCGGGACCATTGGAGGAGCCCGGGCCGCGACGAGGCTGGCGTCGAAGATCGTCACCACGGAGAGGACGAGCTACGAGGAAGGAAGAAAGGAAGGAAGGAAGGAAGTGTCAAGAGACGAAGAATTTTCTCTCGATCGCGATTACGACAATAAGTGGAGGAGGGAGGAGGAAGGGGATAGAAAGAAGGGTGCGAAGAGATCGTAGATTCGGCGATCGATTCGGGGAGGGGGGGAGGGGGAGGAGGAGGAGAGAGAGAGAGGAGGGGGAGAGAGGCGCTTATTAGTCGCTCGTTTCGTTTTCTTCGCCTTCCTCCTCCCGCCGCCCTTCCTCCCGACGGGGCAAGCTTCGCCTCGAACTCAGGGGCGGCAAGCCTCTGTTCATCGTGATCGCTCTCGATTTTATATCCCTCCCTCCCCTGCCCCGCGATAGGGAATCGATGCGAGCAACGACACGAAGAATAACCTGCTCGAATAACCCGCGCCCGACCAGCCGAAACTGTGAACGAACGCCTATATTTTTCTCTGACGCGGATATATGTTCGATTCGTGGGGCTGGTCGTGTGTCGAAACATATATACATGTATATATAATGTTATACGAGTTGGGACAACGACGATCCTCCGGAATACTCGGGGGGAGGAGGAGGGAGGGGACGCAATGTGATAATAAGCGTACGTGGAGATTCCCGAAACACGGTGCTTTCTTACTTTATAAATAAATAAATAAATAAATAAATGAATGAATGAATGAATGAATAAATAAATAAATAAGTAAATAAATAAATAAATAAATAAAATACTGTACGATAAAATAATTGGGGCTCGACGCGTTGTACAGGGTTGGCCGTTAGAGAGGCCGGCGAGCGAAGAGAAGAGAGATATAAAGAAAGGCGGGGGAAATGATCGAAGACTGCGCCCACGTGACACGCGTAACGTGGCAACGTCGAACTAGTTACTTACAATTAGACAACCATTTAGGGGTATATGGGAATTATTTCTAATATTTTTAAGCAGCGATCGATTTTCTTAACAAAAAATGCGACGCGCGCGCGCGAACACACGCAGCACACGAGCATGCACACAAACACACACACACACACACACACATACACAAATATATATATATATACATATACGGAAGAAGCGAAGGAGCAAGCGCGTCTCGATGAAAATCTACGAGGCGTACGCGGTCGAGGCGATGGGAATCGAATCGAATCGAGTCGAGTCGAGTCGAGTCGAGTCGAGTCGAGTCGAAGATATAGCGAGCTTTTCGAGCGTCTCGCATGGATTTCACCGCTCGAGATGCGTCCCCCTCGTCGAACGCGATTTTTTTCTCCCCGGAGAAGTTGTATTATATATATATCGAAACACGAGAATGTGCGTTGTGTGGTTGAATGTACGTAGACCGAAAAATCGGACATCTATGTAGCGTTTATGTATAAAGGCGCGAGAAGATTTTTGTATAAAAAAAACGTGTACATAATTAATATATATGCATATATATATATATATATAAAATACAGATATAAATACGATTATAAATATACGAACGTAAGCGCGAAATATAAACACGTAATATACGTATGAATGTAAAGAAATATATATGTCAGAATTACAGTGTCTTGCAATCGTTCAATCGTACATCCAACGAAGAGGAGAGTGACATATGTGTATATATATATATACACACACACATACACAAAGGTAAGTTCTCGAGAGAATGAAAAAATTGTCGATTCCTCCCTCCCTCCCTTCTCCTCTTCCCCCTTCCCCCTTCCCCGAGCTCGGACGAGCTAGTTCGAAGGAGAAGTATGGCACTCTAAGTATTTTCGAGCTAACAACCATTTCCGAGCATTCCTGCACGAACGTATTTCAATATAAACAATCGCCGGGCGAATTCCCTGGGCGCACGGCAGCGCGGCGGCAGTGATTTCTGGCCGACGTGACGGCGATGCCTTCGTCTGCGAGCGCGACCCCGAGTGCCCTCGCTCGAGGAACGCAACTCGTTTCGATTCTTCTTTAACCTCTCTCCTCCTCCTCCTCCTCCTCCTCCTCCTCCTCCTCGCTCGGTTGTCCGTTCGACTCGCTGCCACTCTTCCTCTTCTTCGTATGCCTGCCCGAACGCTAAACGTAAGTAAGTAAGAAAGAAAGAAGTAAGTAACTATGTATGTATCCTTGTTTCGTTTCTCTTGGGATTCCTCGCGGTGACGGAGGTTCGCGGAATTTTCAAACTGTACCGAAACGAAAATCGAAAAGAAATTCCAGAAACGTTTCGCAGGTGTCTGCCGGTATATACGGAGTTCGGAAGCGTGGCGAGCATCGCGCGTTCTCCGAGGAGAACGCATAAAACGGGGATAAATCACGCGAAGGATGCCGAGTTGGGCTAGGGCGGAGAAGCAAAAACCCGGGAGAGCGAGAGAAAGAGAGATTGGCGTGGAGCGCGGAGAGCCTCGACGGAGAACCAGCCGGATGCTTAGAATTTCGATAAATCTAACTTGGCAGGAGAAACAAACGGCCCAGTGAGAGACTTTTTTTCCGTCCGATCATCGTCCGCCGTTTTTGGCTCCCGTTCAAAAATCTCGCTTCTTTTTTCGTACTCTCGAATCCGTATCCTGTGCACGCGACACGTAAACGAATAATGGACGAAAGCTCGACGAGAGCTCGATTCATCGAGAGGAATTAACGCGAGAACGGGATCGAGGGAAGGGGAGGGGAGAATCGCGATATCGGCCGAGTCACGGTTACGTCATCTTCTATCACCGTCCACCATCCGCTACCCGCTATCGACGATATCGACGAGAACCGCTTCTCCCCGCCGCCCCGATCGAACTTAACTTTCGAGTAAACAGCCATTCTTATTCGTCTTTCTCTAATCGCGACTCGACGACGATAATGACTGTTCGATACGTAAGTAACATCGATCGTAACGCGTCGTACGATGAAATCGAAAAATCGAGTTCCAATTCGTTCGCGACGCCTCGAATTCTACGATCAAAAATGGCTAAACCGAGAATATATACTGGTAAGAACATTCATCGATCAAAGGTTATGCGGCTTGTCAAACCGACTTCCGTGTCCGTGTTCCGTTTCTTGATGGAGTGTAATGCGCGTTCGTTGTGTTTCAATTGGTAGCCGCGGCCCACACGCGACTCGCGATTCGTTCGATCGAGCTTACCTCGCCCCTGTCGCGGTGAGGACGCGTGAACGCGACGAACGAGGCCGTTTTTAACGAGCTCGCGCGCCTACCCCGTGCACGCGGTCCCGCGTAAACGAGAGGCGGAGCAACTGCTTCCAAGAGGTCAGAGGCCACTACCAATCGCAATCTCCCGATAACCACTCTTCTCACTGGCTCCTCTCCTCGGATCAACGCTGAAGCGCCACTTTTTTCCTTTCTATTTACACGTACCGAGGATGCGTGGACGCATACGCGCCGCCTTCTCCTTTCCTCCCTTCCCACCTATCCGCGTCACTTTTTCCTAGGTTACGCTGTTTTTTCGTCAATTATCGTAATCCGTAATAAGGCTGAAAATCTAACCGGATCTCAACTCGGAGGACTATTCGTCACAGGAATCGATCTCATCGCGGTTCTCTCTTCGACGACCTCGACCGTTGCGATAAACGACGTGTCGCGGCATTCGTATAATCGTTCGATTTGTACACGTCGTTCCTTTGCTCGTAACAATTTTCGTCGAGGCGATGTTAAAAGATTTGCACATGTCTTCGTTTCTCTTTCGATTTCCTATCGACTACGTTTTACACAGAAAGAATCATTTTTTTTTCACTCGCGTTGCATGCTATTTATGTATATATGTGTGTGCTTTTAACTAATCGTTTCTTTCCACTACATGATTACTTAAACTACGTAACAATAGAACTATTGAACTACGGAATCACGTATCTTCGTTTCATTGTTTTATCTTTTTTAGTTGATTTTTCTTCTTTCACAAATGATTCATAGGTAAGTACGATCCATCCAAATAAAACTAAAAATTTTACTCGTCTACTCGTTATTCTTTTCGACTGAACATATGTGGAATCAAAACGAAAAACATCGCGGTATTTCGTGAAACTTTTCTCCGATTATCCTATTAGCGCCATCGTCCGATCAATTTTTGAATCTCTTACGTCGTAGTTAAAACCAATAATATCGTACCTATACTATCGATATCATTCTGTGAGTTTCGATTTGATTCGGTCAAGGAGAATCGATACTATTTTGATATTTGTCGAAAATATCGATACATGAGTTCGATTTTGAAAAAAATATGACAATAGATGTTAAAATATGATGTTGGAATCATGAACATGTTTGATTCCAAAGTACACATATCAAAAAATTACGTAAATAAGTAGATATTTGTATATGACACATATTTACTGTAACGATTTGTTGTTGACAAATGGAAAATATTGTTGTTTTTTTATAGAATTTCTGATAGAATTTTATAAGTGACCTTTCAAATTCTGAGTTGACAACTCGGTATCTTAATGTGATATTTTTACAAAATACATATGATCGTAATTATGTTCGATAAAGATAAAACTTCTAAATACATATAGGTTAAAACACCGTAGTATAAAATACTCTTCGAATATTCATTAGATAAAAAAAATTTTAGTAATTTGTAAAGTTAATATAATATATCAAATTGTACAAAAATTTATAAACATTTCTTTTTGAAGATAAATAATTAATCGTTTGAACCAAAAGATTAACAAATTCGAATTAAATATTTTTTATTATTTTGTAGGTATAGACCACTTACATATACGTATAAGCCATTATTTCTTCCATTTACAACATTTATTTATTCAATTTCTAAATATCATTTTTATTCCTGATTCTATGATATTTCTTTTTTTTTTTTTTTCTTCCTCTTAGAAAGTTAATAAAAGACAGCATCTTTATCGACATTATCGACGGATAGTCAGTTAATTAGTTGAGCATCATAATCGTGAGCGCTTTCGTCTTGTTCTTTTTCTTCCTGTATTCACATAGTTGAAAATAAATCGTTGTAAAAAAAACATATGTGTTGAATTATTGCGTTACGAACATCCTTTTTCCTTAATTCTTTTTCTTTTGTTTAACAAATGTTATCAAATTCAGTGTATATAGTAACAAATCAACAATTAGAATCAGTTAATCGGTGATATAGTTGAATCGATCTTCAAATGTGATTTATAAAATGAAAAAAGTAATGGCGAATTATAACGATCTCGAAAATATCAAATACCGTATTAAATCGATTTAATAAAATAACTAATGACTAAAATAAAAAAACAATTTATTAACGACAATATCTATAATTACACTATAATGTATCGCGCGTGGGAAGCAGTATTCCATTTGATATATCGCTTAGCTTTTTTTTCTTTTTCTTCTTTTTTTCATCGGACTATTAAATGGATTAACCATCGTGTAATCGATTGAGAACCAGTAAATGGAAATTCCTATTGAGGATAAGATTAAATCGAATAGTGATGATTTTGAAGATCAATGTTCGGTGGTTTCGTGCAAATCCTGACAAAATTGTAAAATCAAACGAAAAAATGACGGGACGAGAGAAGATTAAGATAACGAATTTGGATAAATCATCAACCACATTCAAACTTCTGAAAACAACTATTTTCTATTGGACATTGTATTCTGTTCATCTTTACCTCACATTTCGTAAGATAAATCAATAAATATCAACGCGAACTAACGTTATATGCGTATATATATATATATATATATTTATATTAAAATTAAACGTGCACGCTGATGAAATGCGTCTGGAAACACTCAACAATGATCAATATTGTTTTTGTTGAGAGTTGTGTTACAAAAGATACGTCCAATGATCAGTTGAACGATCAGCATAAAATGTATATGTACATGTACGATAATCAGTTTGTGCAACACTAGAGACACTATTCGTAATATTTTTGTTTCGAAGAAAAAAAAAATAATTACACGCAACGACCCAATTACGAATTTAAAACATCTTGTCTCATTTAGCGTTCTTTCGTGTCATTATTATTAAAAACTGTCGTACGTAAATTACAATGACACGAGAGATAATTTAATTAATCGGTCAAAACGTCGTAAAATTATTCTGACGAAATATTATTTCTTTTTTATTCGACATACAATTCGATTTGCACTAGATACTCGAATGCTTTCGAAATATATATTTACAATATACACCGACGACGATTATCGTATAATTTATTAAAATTTTTTTTTTTTTTGTTTAAATACGTTCACAAAAAATTGATAAAAACTTGTACACGCGTGTATGAATTATTTCGATTAACTTTCAATCGTAGACATTTCTTTCGAGTCGATGTATTTTCGTAATTTTCATTTTCTAAAATTCACGAAATTTATACAATTTCCCAACTTATTCACGGCATTGCATCTCTAATGCATATGTATTCTTATGCTCAGGGCACCAAACACTTGCTGCATCGAAGGCATCTCGTGGCTATTGTTTTATTTTATTTAATTCTCTTTTCAAAATAAATAAATCGTGATTACTTGGTTCGTTTAGTCGGTAGCATTGGACGCCAAAGTATCTCTATCGGTAGTATCAGAATATTTCAACTCGACAGTAATAAGTTGTTAAGGTTAAACTATAAACTTTCTCGCGTTCTCTTTTTCTTTCATCCTCTCTTTCTCTCTCTCTCTCTCTCTNNTNTNTTTCTCTCTCTCTCTCTCTCTCTCTCTCTCTCTCTCTCTCTCTCTCTCTCTCTCTCTCT